TGTCAGATTCTGGTCATTAAAATATCGTAGGGAGTAATCGTTTTATGTCTCGTTGGGAGCTCAAAGAGGACAGAAAAATAGGAGAATAAATTGAAAAAATATTGAAAAATAAGCAATATATGGATGTTTCTTTGCTATTTGGAAATTTTCTATTCAAAACTGTCCCTAAGCAAATTTTATTAAATGTGGAGAGTTTTTGTTAATAATATGAAGGGAAATAGTAAATTAATTTTATATCTTTAAAAAACACTGAAATTGTCAGTGGCGACTCGTGGCTTGAGGGACAAGGTCGGCAAGGTATTTTTTGTCTCCTCAGATAGGTATACCGTCTAATAAAGACTTCAATTATCATAGGAGATTTTTTGTTTTCTTGTTTTTTGTTTTTTTTTGTTTTTTCCTATAAATTTAGAACCTAAACATGTTTATAAATTAACTCTAGTCTACGTTGTTTGGAAGTAGCAAAATGGGTAATAACGTCATCGTAAAATTTATTAGAGCTTTAGAGAGATTTTAAAAGTTTTTTTTCTATTGACATTTGAGACAAGCTTGACATTCTCTCTTGTTTCATGGTATTTCGACAATAAGTTTTGATTCTTTTGAGGTAAGAAAAATCTGGTTCATTTGAGGCAGACGTTGGTGGTAATGAGAGAATAATTGACAATAATTTATTAATTTCGGTAACAGTTTGTTGTAATGAATTGCAGTTTATAAAATTATACATATCTTGTAACTTATCCCATCTTCCGAAAATATTTGGATCAGCATATAAAACTTTTAATTCATTTTCTAATTTTAATTTATTAAAGAATGATGGATAATTTTTAATTAACCTGTCTAATAAATATCTTGGAAATTCTTTGGCATAACTTTTAAATTTTGAATCGTCAAGAGGTCAAAAATTTGCAAATCTTCAAAATTCGAAAAACGAGTATCTATTTGCATAATAATAGTCTCCAAAATTTCAAAATATACTCGTTTTTGGAGATCTGTTTCTGTGTCATGCCTTTGTCTTTTTATTTTGGGGTTCGGAAATATCAAGCGAGTCCAAAACGTCACTGCGTATATACTGGAAATTACTATCATTACGAAAATCTCTGAGATTTTGCACCAGTCTTGTTATTCTATTTTTTGAATGAATAATGTCAGTTAACTGATTTTGAACAACATTGAATATCAAATCGGTTTGGGTAAACACTTTCTTAAAAATGTTTAAAGGTATGTTAAAAGACTAATCATTTAATAAAGTTTTCAAACCGATTGCTTCACGGATCGAGATATCATCACTTTCAAAATCGTCACATTCAATAATAAAATCAAAAACTTCCAAAAGGTGTTCACGAAAATCTGCTACAGTGAAAACTAACTGAGATTTAAAATTCCATCGCGTCTGACAAACTGTTGGCATTTTTTTTCGAAACAAAACCGTTCTAAAACATTAGTCCGTTTAGGCGAGCTTGAGAAAAATGAAGCAAATCCGCTTAAACTGGCAAAAAAGACGACATTCTTTAATTTTTTTACATGTATCTTGCAAAACTAAATTCATGCTATGCGCATGACAGTGAGTAAATAAAGCTTGCGGTGCAATAGTTTTAACTTTTGCCTGGAGACCATTTAATTCACCAGACATCACGGCAGTGCCGTCATAAGTTTGCCCTACCAATTTATTTTTGATATCAAAAAATTTTAATCTGTCCTTTAAAACACCAAAAATATGTTCTGCCATATGGCTTTTACTCACGTCTGTAAAACCTAAAAACCTCTCATAGATATTACCACGTAACGTGTATCGAACAACAATTATTGATAATAATTGTGAATGACATAATATGTCGGTATTTTCATCTACTTCTAGTGAAAACCAAATGGTTTCCTGAATCTTAGATTCAATAACGTTACTCAAAATGTAACTAATTGATTCTATTAATTGGATTGTTTTAGATACACCGCTAAATGTCTTCGAATCAGAAAGTAAATTAGAAAATTCCAAATCGTATTTCTTAAACATTTTTATTAGTTCTCTATAATTACCTTGATTTAACGAATGCTCCGATTCATCGTGTCCCCTAAAAGGTAATTCCTGACAACTTAAAAAAATTACAATATCAATTAAACGACATAAAACTGCGTGATTATTTTTTACAGTTTCGTTATGTTTAATAGCATTTTCACGTTGGGCATTATCTAATGAAACATAGATATTTTGTTTTCCAAATAAATCTAATTTAATCTGGCTGTATGATCTTTCGAAATATCATGTTTATGTAAAGCCCTAAATAATTCTTTTAAATTATTGTAACTAGATTCACACCACGGATTTTGATGTTTGCCCCTATTTGTCGAAAATAAAATGCAAGGCCAACAGAAAAGTTTGTTTTTTATTTCACTCCCGGTAAGCCATGAGTACTTGCTGTACCAATTATCTGAAAATTATCTATGACTTCCCTTACCCGCACTAATATTTATAAACCGAGACATTTTAGGCAAAGGACGCCCCTTATTTTTAATAACAATTTGTTCTTCGTATGGAATAGATGAAAACTCATTATGCAAAATATAATTTACAATATCAGACATCAATAATTACAGTTTCTCCCATGGCTTGTATTTTTTAGTTTAATTTACCTAAATTTGTTTACACTTTAATTAAAAAAAAAACTTCTAATATGTCAAAACACCCTTTAACCTTTAACTATTTACGGCATAGGTAACGTTTCACAGTATTACTTTAGAAAATAAAAATAAATCACAAAAAGAAAGGCTAGTTCGTGCACCGAATATCACTTCACAGGAACGTAGATTCCTTGTGGACTTCACTTTACTACATATATGAAATAACATTTCGTCCCACGCTCACAATGTACAGTTCGCGACCAATCAAAAATCCAAATGAAACATCGGCAAATTTAAATTGCCGTACTTGGTAATTAAGTTCATATGGAAAGAAATGTATATTTGGTTGCTAATCAATCAATATTCCGTTGATTTTTACAAGTAAAGTCAAGGTTGGGATCGGCTAGCAGAAAAAACGAAACGTGCCTTTTTAAGAATTCATAAGCGGATAGATCGATGGATGTCTCCGATATCGAATCATCTATTTGAAAAGTGTCTACGCAGGGATCACTTAACACTCAGATTGGACGAATTCTTTTAAAAACCATGAATAAAATTTAGTCTGGTCGAATTCTTTTAAAAACCTTGAATAAAATTTAGTCTTTATTATCTCACAGATATTTTTTAGTTCACAAAAACAAATGACTTCAACTGATTACCTGCCACAATTATTTATTGAAATACTGATTAAATTACATATTAAAAAAATCTATAATATTTATAAAGATGTGGGTCGGCACTGCCGACCCTGACCGGCCGCCACTGGAAATTGTCCTCTTGGTTTTTGAGTTAATATGGACAATTTTACGCAAACCTGTAATAGGGGCATCGAGCAAAAAGACAAAAGAGGGAATCTAATCATTATGAAAAGGAGACCAAAAAAGTGGCCTCTGATGGCGAACATATCCGGAAATGCGAATGCGCTAAATTTAAATTTTCCGACACTTATTAACAGTAGCTATAAAATAGTTTTCAGAATGTGTCTTAGACGAGAAACTTTAAATAAATATTAACGATAACAGTATAAAATGTGACACAATTGTTAAAAAACTTCAATATAAATAAGATTTCATGTGGCAGTCGGGAAACAATAACATAACCCAACTAAATTTGATTTCTTAAACAAGGAAAGACTCTCTTACACCTCTTATTCTCTTAGAAAAATACACAATGGGATACAAGACTCATTACATTAAAAAAAAGCTCACAGCTTGATATCATACTTAGCTAAAATCTTGCTTTCAAAGCTGATCCTGAAATTACACTGGTATAGATAGAAGCTGCTGTGAATGAATCCTGTGTCAAATGTAACCACCAATAAAAGCACACTCTCTAGAAAGTCAAAAAATTGATAAAAATACCTACCTCAGAAAGCCATAGTACTAGTCACTGTAATCTAATACTAAAAAGCCTCCTACTGCCGACCAATCAGTTTATTAATTATTCATCTCAGCTAAATTGTTTGAAATACTGCTATTAGTAGAATAAAAGAAGCACATATCCTACCAGGAAATATGTCAGCCCACCAATTTGACTTTAGTGAAAATCACTCGACAATACAGGAAATGAATAGATCGCCGGATTCCAATACGAAGTTCTAGCACGATTTTCCCCTATGCTTTTTTTGTACTGAAAATGTTATACAAAATTTTCTTCAGGTCATAATTAATTCCCTTAGGGCACTAGTAGCCCTTATGCCAAAATTTTTAAATAGAATCAATACTCATCTATCGATTCGTAGAATGACATAAGGAAGAAAATATCTTAACATAAAAAGATTTTCTTTACAATAGAAAATTCAGTTTTCACGCAAACGCCTCCGGGAAATCCTACAGTTTTCTCATATTTTACTATCCTAGATTTCATTTTTCAGTACTCTCAAAGGCATCAGGGATAAAATCGTCTTTAAACTTCGTCGGAAATCCGTCGGTCTGGTAGGGTAGGTGAGGAAATTACAAAACGTCTTGAAGAAATGTAATACAATAACGTTGTATTCCTTGATATCTCCCAATCTTTCGATGGACTATGTCATCTAGGTTGCTCTTCAAATTAAAAAACATAGAATACCATAGTTAAATCTTTCGTTTTGAAGCGTTTTGAAAATGTTTGGTTTTGGCTTTCGTAAATAGCGTCTTTATTTCGTTGCAGATACTTTTTAATGTGTTATTTTGTCGTTTGACCTGCGAAGTTCCAGTATTATAATTATTGCTATATTCCTCGTGGATATCAAAGGGTACACATTCTTGTCTTACGTCTAATTTTGAACTATAATATTTAAATCAGGTATTGATGATCTTTGCTTTTATAATAATTATATCATAATCATTGCATTAAATAAAGATATGAAAATATAACATTCTCTACTTAAGACTACTACAAAGAATTCTTACCTGAAATAACAGAAAAGCGTAACCTTTTGGCGGAAAATACGATTTGCTCTCTGCTTTGTGGGGCCAGTCCACAACCAAGGGTCCGAATCTCCTGAAGCTGACAGTAATTTCGTCTTCATCAATATCCGGGGGAAGTCCTCCGACGAAAACCTTCCTAGAAAATCGTTCGCCGCCCTCGGAGCCCTGCGAGTGAGGCGAAGACCTTGAAGGTGAGCTCAAAGGTTGAGTTCCTAAAGTGTTGTCTACTAAATGACTAGGTTCTTCTAGGAGGACAGGACCAGCTTGATCCTCCAAGTTTGGAAAATAGTGTGATTTTCCTGGAACAAAATATAAAAAGGTTAAAAATCAACTAGTCATTTTTTTATTTAAAATTGATGTGATTTATATTGCTAAATATTTTTAAGGGTATCACACTATTGATAATTACTCGTTTTACTTTATTCACAATAAAAAATCACCCGTTTTTTAGGTTAAAATATTTAATTGGAAAATGCAAGATTGATTAAATTATAAACATATTAAAAATGTATAAAAACGTCATTCAATAAGTAAGATCCTCGAGAAAGCATTAAATTTACATAAAAATATTGAAACCCATCACCTATTCGTCGAATTCAAGGCCGCGTACTACAGCGTCGAGAAAATAGTACTATAACAGTTAATGCGTGAGTTTGATATACCAGAAAATTTATCCGATTAACGAGAATAACAATGTTTAAACTTAAAGAGAATGTTAGGGTACAGTGAGAGAGTTCTAGACTTTTGAGATAAAGGATAGACAGACAAAGGGATGCCCTGGCTTAGGGTCAATACAAATCTTTGCATACGCTGATGACATTGATATAATAGGGAGTTGAGTGAGATGTTGTGAGCGTTGTTGTAATGTTTTTATTCAAAGTTTTAAATGTATTTTTTAATATTTTTAACATGTTTGTGACAGTGTTCTTCACCACTAGGACCAACTGAACATTTTCAATGTAGGTTTTAAATGTTGATTTCCACCACTTGTACTAAAATAGGTTTCAAGTTCTACACCAAACTGGCTTATACCATCTCTAGCTGATCCTTGTTTGACGCTTTCCCGAAAGTTACCCTCCAAAGAATAGTATATATATATATATATATATATATATATATATATATATATATATATATATATATTCGGTTTTATAACGTCTTACGACGTTGTCCGACTCCCAAACGCCACTTTATTCTGTCTTGAGTTAGGTTTTCGTCCAGATTTCGAGCGCTAATCGCTTTCCTAACTCCCAGGTTCTAGCTCTGTAATGGTCTTCCTCGTTTCCTCTTCTCTGGGGGTTGCCACATCATCGTTTTTTTAGGCAATCTTTCGTCCCCCATTCGGCTCATACCATACCATATGAGCTGTTTTCTCTCAATATCCTCAACTGTAGTGCCCTCTATACCTATTTGTTGTTTTATCACTTCATTCCGTATTCTGTCGGCTCTTGATATATCGATCTTCTGATGGCATCCATTTCCGTGGCTTCGATCTTTTTCTTATATTTCTCGGTTATTCTCCATGTCTCAGCTCCATAAAGTAGGCTAGTTTTAACCATTGTCCCATAGATGTTCCATTTTCTTTTCTTTGATATTTCTGTACTCCATAGAACTCCGTTCAAACATGCTATAGCTCTTCGTGCTTGTACAATTCGATGTTCTATTTCTCGTTCGTCTTTTCCACTACGGTCGAAGATGACGCCCAGGTATTTATATTCGTCACATGGATTTATTTTTTGATTGTCATCGATATCGAGTTGTTCTGCTTCAGCTTCAATTGAGAGGTATTTTGTCTTTTCTAAATTGATATTTAATGCCCATTTCTGGTATTCTTCAATTAGTTTTCTAAGCATGTATTCCATGTCGTCTTTGTCATTTGGGATCACCACCTGATCATCTGCAAACTGTAAAGTATATATGTTATCCTGATCGTTCAATTGTATACCCATTCCTTTGACTTTCCTTTTCCATTGTTTCAGAGCTGCAGAGATATAAATCTTAAATAGAGTCGGAGAGATACAACATCCTTGTTTGAAACCCTTAGTAACTGCAAATTTTTCAGCTAAGAGGTTTCCGAATATCATGTGGGAGTTTGAACCATAATATAGATCTTTGAGAGCACTAACCAATGTTTGATGTATGTTTGATGTGCCCAGGACTTCCCATAGTTTATTTAGCGGGACTGTGTCATATGCCTTCTCAAGATCTACAAAAGTCATATGTAACTCTCTATTTGTCACAATTTTCTTTTCTATAATTTGTTTAAGACAGAAGATGTTATCTGTACATGAACGACCTGCTCTAAATCCTCCTTGGTCTTCGTCTTCAGACGATTGATAATCTTCCTCTATCAGGTCCCGTAGTATTCGACCATATAGTCGACTCATTGAACTTGTGAAAGATATCCCTCTATAGTTCTTACAATTTCTCCTGTCACCTTTTTTTATATATTGGGGTCATATAAGCTGTTTTCCATTCATCTGGTGTTGGATGTCCATTAATATATTCGTTAAATATCACCGTGATCATTCTGTGTAATTTCTCTGAGCCATTCTTTATTAATTCTGTAGTTACTCCCTCTGGTCCACTTGCTTTCCTATTCTTCATTCCTGCTATAGCTTTTTAAACTATGTTGATATCTATGGTAATATGCTCTCCCAGAATTTCGATTATTGATGAATTCATTTAAATTCGTCTCTGTTCTCATTTAATAGATGTTTGTAATAATGTGTCCAATCCTCGGGATTTATGGGATTTAGAATCACTTTCTCGTTAGTCGGCTTCTTAACAGAGTTTATAAACTTTGACGCCTCAGTGCATTGTCGTCCTCCAATACAAGATTCTATCTCTCTGCACCTTCTGTCTCATTTTTGGAGGTCATAATTATCTTTCTAGTTTTCTTCTTCATTTCATTGTATCGGTCTTTGTCTGCGTCATCTTTTGTATTCAACCACTTATGGTATAATCTTTTCTTTTCTGTTACCGCATTTTCGACGTCTTCATTCCACCAAAGCTTGTTACTAATTATTAAAAAACTCATTAACTCATTAATTTTGTTAACTCGTTAACAAAACTCATTACCTTTGAAATTTGGTGTTATCGAAGAATGTGGAAAATATCTTGGACACAACAAATAACAAATGCGGAAACGCTACGAGAATGAAAAAAAATAAAGAAATACTCACTATAAAGAATAGAAAAATGAACTACTTTGGTCACATACTAAGAAAGGAGAAATACGAATTGATGCGGCTGGTCATAAAAGGGTAGGTGGAAGGCAAAAGAGGACCGGGAAGAAGACGCACGTCCTGGTTGAAGAATTTGAGACAATGAAGTGGGAAAACGTCAATAGAACTTTTCAGAACAGCTGCAGATAGAATCAAATGGGCCATGATAATCGCCAATGACCTTATGGATGGGGCACGTTAAGGAGAAGATTAAGTGTGAAGTGAATACGCGGTGGGGTCCATGTTCTACGTACTTTACACATGCCTATTTAGAAGTAATTCAATTGAAACTACGACAAATAAAAAGAAGCTCTTTTATGTTTCTAACTATTTCTCTTCGTATTTTTAACGGTGGGTAAAGAACAACTGAAGATAATGGTCAACAACTAGATGAAAAAGTCAGAAAAGTTGATTTAAAAAGAAAAAGTTCACTTACGACAAAACAACAGTAAAAACAAATTAAATTGAGTTAAATTGTAGTCAAACTATTTTTCTAAGTGTATATTATTTTGAATGCAATGAATCGAACGGTCCTTGAAAGTTATCAAATGGGATAACGCTCTAAGCCTTTACACTATAATTGGATTTAAAGGAGAAAACGTAGAAAATCCTGCGATTTTCTTAAAACGCAATTAAAAGGAAGTTTTAACTGAAAGCTGAAATTAAAGTTCTCGAGGATATTGTAAAAATAATAGTGGTATTTTTGATTGGCTAGAATTAGAGTTTGTTTAAACAGCGCTGAAGTACTCAACGTTCCCTCAGAGCCGATTAACGACAGTTGAAGCATATACAAACGTACTGACTTAAGAGGGTTATACAACTTGTTCGTATTTTCCAACTTTAGGACGATATATAAATTAGTTATATACATATAATCATTCTTATTGCATAAAACACTAGATTTCAGTTAAATTACGGATACTAATCGAAAAGATAAAAGCGAGAAATTGAAGAAAAAATGCATATATCAAATGGCCCTTGGAGAGTACGTGTCTCCTGAACCTTCCACTGGTCTCAGTCTCCAAATCCAAATTCACATAATTATTGATCTACCTCGTACACGCCTTCCTTTTTAGTATATGCTATATACACTTTTTGTACACCCATCTTTGAGCATGAATTGCACATGCTCATTTCACCCCTGGCATAAAATCACCAAAGACCTGCTTTACTGAGCCATTAGTACCTACTTCTTCGCCAGCAACTTTCCTATTTCAGCAATTTAGCTTTTTTGTCTCGTTTCCTGAGGATCCACATTTGTCCAGTTATACTATTGACATAGAATAATAAACAATCAGAATGTCCACTCTCAGATGCCGCCTTTGAAGTTTTTCAGCACGCGCGCCATATTTTAGAAGGAAACACATAACACAGAAATATGATTTGTGAGGTTATGTAATTGTTTATATTTATGTTTAATTATATTATATTTATGTTATTATATTTAACAATTTTAATATAATTGTGTAGTATGTCTATGATTGCCGTAAGTCAATTAAATCGGGTTAATTTCTTTATGTACAACACTGGTTCCCTCTAAAACATGGCGGAACGTCTGCGCGAAGGAGATGCGCGTGCTTAATTTTCCATGGAGAGTGGGCATTCTGATTGTTTATTATTCTGTGCTATTGACTTTAGTATTCTTGCAGTGCAAATATTAAACAGATCCTAAATATTTGAAATCTTCAACCCCTTCAAATTCGTATTAATTGACAAATAGTGCGTGTGTTAAGGTGTAAATTCTTATTCATCACTATATATTTTGTTTTTTTCTTATTCAGCCTGTATAGTTTACCTTTATTAAAATCTCCACTTCCATACCAATTTAACCTTATACAATGCTTTTGATTTTATGTAGTTAAGAACATCTTAAAAAGATAAAACAAAGTCCTAGAAACGCCAAATAGTCTCAATATTTTTTTTCATTCAAACTATGTAAACTAAATTTGAACATAATAAAAGTTTACTACATTGCTAAATTAATGTTAATCTAATTAAGTGTTCAAAATGTCATCGGTTGTTAATTTGACAGTATCCTAAACAATGGTAGAATGCGTCTAGTATATTTATCC